GGATTCCTGATGCACATGTGGTGGGGGAATGTCTGTGTGGAGGGGCACGTGGATTCCTGCTGCACGTGTGGTGGGGAATGTCTGTGGAGGGGCACATGGATTCCTGCTGCACGTGTGGTGGGGAATGTCTGTGTGGAGGGGCATGTAGATTCCTGCTGCACGTGTGGTGGGTGAATGTCTGTGTGGAGGGGCACGTGGATTCCTGCTCCACGTGTGGTGGGTGAATGGATAAACAAATAGCCCAAAAGAGTCTGAGCATCAGTGATACATGGAACAGGAAAGGCCACATCTCTGCCTAAGAGAGCTGGGATCACTGTGGCTCAGGCTGGCTGAGAGGGAACAGAACAACGAGCTGGTGAGAGAATGTGTCTCTGTCTTCTCAGCAGTGACCAGCCTGCCATGAGGCAGCGGGGACCAGCCCCAGCCCTGCCAACATCTGGGTGCCCCTGATGGTCCTCCTGTTTGACCCAGAGGAGGCTGGTTGCACTGTCTGTCCTATGGCAGATGACATGACCTGCCCCAAGCAGGGTCATCTGTTTACATGTTACAGCCCTAAATTTCAAATTTCATGTTCCTCACCTGTAAAATAGAATTGATACTGGCTGCCCAGGAAGGAGCTCAGAGCCAAGTTCAGCCCTGGGCATGTGGCAGGAATCCCACACATGCTCGCCCGTCATCCTCCTGCCTTTACTCTGTGACCACAACCCTATTGGTGCTGACACTGCCCACCTGCACGGAGCACCTTCTAACCACTGAACACAGCTTTCCCCCAGGAAAGGGGGAAAGGGGGAAATGGGACCTCAGGACCATCATCCTGAGGTCCCATTACTATCCTCACCATGTAGTTGAAAGAAAAGTGCCTCAGAGAAGCCAGGAAGCTGCCCCAGGTCTAAGCCTGTGATGACAGAGCCCTCCTGTCTCACCACATGGCTGTGTGACCTGCCTCTGCTATTAGGCAGCTGCCGAGACAGTTTCGGTTTCCAAGACCCTTCCTTCTGGGAAGATGGATGAGCTGCCTGTGGGCACAAGTGTCCAAGCCCCTGGGGCAATTCTAAGTGCCATTTACTGCACTGTCACTGGGCTGTTCCAGCCTCTGCATTTCTCATTATTTCTCATTAACATAAACTGGTCCCTTGGGCCTTGGCATCCTTGGAAAGTGACCTTTATGAACTTGTTCCCAGAAGGAAGATCCTGCCTGCAAAGACCCTTCAGCAGACCCCGAGGCTCAGGCTGAGGTCCATGAAGTCCCCATGTATTCTCATGCTCAGCTCAGCTGTGCTGGCCTTACCTGGTGCACCGGCATAGCCTTCGGTGTTGGGGATGGTCCCCTGTCTGGTCTGGCCATCCACCCCCTGGGGCAGGCCTCTCCCTGATACACCTGTCCTTCCTGGAGGCCCAGCCTCTCCAGTCTCCATGATAACCCCCGTGGAGCCAGGCAGGAAGGGCAGCCCTGTCCAGCCAGGCCACGCAGGAGGGGGAAGCTTCTTCTTAGGGGGTTGAGGCTGCAGGGGTCTCTGGGGCAGGACAGGCCGCTGGCCTGTGTGCAATCGATGTCCAGGATCCTCAGGAGGTGGGGGACCACTTGGCCTTGGCAGTGGCAGTGGGGTGGGCTCCAGCTCAGCTGGCTCAGTGGGGACCTCTGTCGGTGATGGGGTTGGGGGCCTTCTGGGCATCTGTGGGGCCTTCCCTCGGCCCGGGAGCTGGGGTGCTTCTGAGGGCTCCTCGGCTAAGTATTGGGAAAGCAGAAAGAAACACAGTATTAAAAACCTCCAACTTCTTTCTCTGTTCAGTCCCATGTCCCCTCTTATGAGGCCCATTGAGTCTGCAGTTTCCTGCAGAGGGCTAAGCTGCTGGCTGTCTCTGGGGCATCCCCTATCAGGGTATACAGGAGAGCACCACAGCTCAGGGACAGCCTGCCTCACGTCTTCTGAAGCAGCTACAGGTCAGGCTGCCCTCAGGTCTCCTGGGGAGCAGCTGGGACCCCCCCACCTGGGGAAGGAAACTTTCAGCCTCTCTGTCTATACACATAGATGGCTGTGCTCCCCCAAATGGTGGCATCCTTGGCTCCAGTGCCCAAAATGTTCCGATTTTACTGCATGCTGATACAACAGACATGTCACAAATTAGCGAAAGGGACTTGATGCCACCTCACAATCTCTAAAACATGCTAGTCTCAGAGTCATCGCTGGCAGCCTTTCCACTGGCCACCGAGGGACAGTACTGTGAGACCCCACGACGGACCCAGGCAGTGTTCGGAGAACTCAGCTGCAGGCCCCAGAGGAGCAGCAACACATATCTTTGGGCTAAAGCCTTTTGAGTCACCAGCTGAGGGGATTTCCAATGAGGGAACCTCCTGGTTCACTTCTCCTTGCTGTCTTGAGACAGCCACATCCTTCCTCCTTTGAAGCCATTCCTGGAACCAGCCTTCCAGAAAGCCTTCCTGACTGCCCACAGGACACGTAACAATAACCTAGTTGAGAAACTACTGGCAAAAGCAAAACGCATTCCACCTCCTCAATCAGTCTGGTGCTCGCAATGCCCAAGGTTCCAAACGTCTGCAGTTATGACCCAACGCAATCTGGGAGTGACTGCCCTTCGACCAGCTGTCTGGTTTTGTTTCAAAACTCACTAAGGTAAATATGGCAGCTGAATACAGAGACAGGGTGCTAGATCCTTCAAGAGAAGTTACTTATCAAACAGCCTTTCCAGAAAAACAGATTGGGGTGGTAAGGAGAGAATTAACCAAAGAATACAATTTCCCATAACTGAAGAAAATAAAGGATCCTACCACAATTATTGAATAAAACATACATACCAAGGTATACTCAGAACACTGAGAATAAAGAGAAGATACTATGAGCTTTCAAGAGAAAAAAATACAAGAGGTTAACTGCACATCAGAAAGGCATCACCCGGCCTCTCAACAGCATTGGGAACTAGAAGACCAGAAAACCGTGTCTATAAATTTTGAGGGAATATAATTGTTAACCTTGAATTCTATACCCAGTCAAAATATCCATCAATTATAAGCATAGAACAAAAACCTTTTAAAGACAAGCAATACTTTAAAAATATGAAAAGCACCATCTCTTAAGCATCCTATCTTTCTTTTTTTTATGAGAGTCTCACTGTGTGCTGAGGCGTCACAGCTCACAGAAACCTCCAACTCCTGGGTTTAGGCAATTCTCTTGCCTCAGCCTCCCGAGTAGCTGGGACTACAGGCGCCCGCCACAACGCCTGCTATTTTTGTTGCAGTTTGGGCCAGGGCTGTGTTCGAACCCACCACCCTCGGTATATGGGGCCGGCGCCCTACCCACTGAGCCACAGGCGCCTCCCTCAAGCATCCTATCTTAAGAAGCTATTGGAGTTAACTGTAATCCTACCACTCTGGGAGGCCAAGGCAGGTGGATTGCCTGAGCTCACAAATTTGAGACCAGCCTGAGCAAGAGACCCTGCCTCTAAAAAATAGCCGGGCATCATGGTCCCAGCTACTCAGGAGGCTGAGGCAAGAGGATCACTTGAGCCCAAGTGTTTGAGGTTGCTGTGAGCTATGATGTCACAGCACTCTACCAAGGGTTACAAAGTGAGACTCTATCTTAAACAAAAACAAAAAACAAGGTGTTAGAGAATGTGCTCTCCAGAAACAAGGAAATAAACAACAAAAAAGACCCATAAAGAGTCTAACACAGGAGAGAAGATAAAGACATCCCTAGGACAGTAGTGAAGGAAGGCTCCGATTCAAAGCCTCACAGCAAGTTCAGAGAGTAACCAGCCCCGTGTGGGTCAGGAAGAGCAAGAATTCCAGGAGGGCGGCCTCCCCCTGGAATTCCAAAAAGTGGAATTGACAAATGATCTGATATTTTTCATGGTATAAAAAAATTGTATTGAGAGGCTGCTGAAGGATAGGAAGACTCCAAAATAGATCTGTAACATCTAAGCAAATAAGGTGACACTGCTCCTGATTCAGAGAAAAGAAAAAGAAAAAAGGCAACATAACCATAGAAAGCTATTTAGCTCAGACTGCATCGACGTTGAACACTGATTTATCGTGCCACAACTATACTGGGCACTGGAAGAAAGGGAGCCAGTACACAATATCCAAAGTGGATGCGTCAGGTTAGAAATACTGTGGGGAGCACGGAGGAAACAAAATGGCTGGGAGAGCTGCAGGAGGCTGCCTCGGGGGTGAGACGGTGACGGGAGGGGCAGCAGGGCTGCTGCTCAGTATGAGCTTCGCACTGCTGTTTTACTCATTTTTATAAAATGTAACTATAAAAGACTCTCACTGAGTGTCTGTTTCTACCCGTCCCCTCCAATCTCTGCATGTGTGAGTCTGTCTTTTTCCTCCCAGGGCATATGCGTCTGCCTGAGCCCTAACCACTCCGCCTGAGCGCTAACCACTCCGCCTGAGCCCTAACCACTCCGCCTGAGCCCTAACCACTCCGCCTGAGCCCTAACCACTCCGCCTGAGCCCTAACCACTCCGCCTGAGCCCTAACCACTCGGCCTGAGCGCTAACCACTCGGCCTGAGCGCTAACCACTCCGCCTGAGCCCTAACCACTCCGCCTGAGCGCTAACCACGCGGCCTGAGCGCTAACCACTCTGCCTGAGCGCTAACCACGCGGCCTGAGCCCTAACCACTCCGCCTGAGCGCTAACCACTCCGCCTGAGCCCTAACCACTCCGCCTGAGCGCTAACCACTCCGCCTGAGCCCTAACCACTCCGCCTGAGCCCTAACCACTCTGCTCTTCTTGGATTTGCTCCATCCAGTATCAACCTCTCTTTTCTTCCTCCCATGGCTCCTTTTAGCCCAAATGTATGTGTCACCTTCCAGAATCTGGGAAAAAATACTCTTCCTTTGCTGGGTGCAGTGGCTCACGCCTGTAATCCTAGCACTCTGGGAGGCCGAGGCAGGAGGATTGCTTCAGTTCAGGAGTTTGAGACCAGCTTGGGCAAGAGCAAGAGCCCTATCTCTACCCAAAATAGAAAAATTAAGGGCAAATGAGGTGGCTCACACCTGTAATCCAAGCACTCTGAGGAGTCAAGGCAGGTAGATTGCCTGAGCTCAGACATTGGAGACCAGCCTAAGCAAGAATGAGACCCCATTTCTAAAAAATAGCTGGGGCATGTGGCAGGCACCTGTAGTCCCAGCTACTTGGGAGGCTGAGGCAAGAGGATTTCTTGAGCCCAAAAGTTTGAGGTTGCTATGAGCTATGATGCCACAGCACTCTACTGAGGGCCACAAAGTGAGACTCTGTCATCCCCCAAAAAATAAAAAATAAAAAATAATTAGCTGGGCATTGTGGCAGGTACCTATAGTCCTAGCTACTTAGGAGGCTGAGGCAGGAATGCTTGAGCCCAGGAGTTTGAGGTTGTGACCTAGACCTCTCTGAGCTATGATGACACCACTGCACTCTCTCCAGGGGATGGAATGAGATGCTGTCTAAAAAAAAAAAAAGAAAATACTTTTCCTCAGTTTTACAATACTCAATGAATTTCACTTGGCAAAGTACCTTTAAAATGCAAAGTACAGGCCCCTCAAATGTGTTCTTATTTTCCTTTCTATCCCCACCAAACCCTTCAAATCCACCCCCTCACTCTGAAATAAATCCTCATCACTCCCCCCAGGACCCCATCTCCGCGTATTTCACTCTTCCTGCCCCTGCTCGCCCCCCCTTTCCCTCCACACATGCTTGTGGCTAAGGCCAGCTGATTCTAATTTTGAAATATCCCTCGACTCCTTCATCCATACCTTTTCCAGAATGCTCTTTAGAAAGCATTCTAACCCTTACTTCCTGCTCAGAAATCTTCCATTGTTCGCCACTACTCATAAAATCAATCAGAATCTCCTCCGACACCCCGTGCCCCTGCCTCCTCGTCAGAGCCTGTGCTCTGCCCAGCCCTCGTCTGACTTCCTGGCTTTGTGCCTTTGCTTTTACTGTGCAAAGTACGCCCTGAGCTGGCCACTTCGGACATCCTCCCTGGAGAAACGGCACCTGTCCCTGGAGCCCCAGGTCCAGTACCACCTCCTCCAGGACGCCCTCTCAGGTCTGCCCGGCAGGGTAGGGGCCGTCCTGCCCCGAACAGGAGCCCACATGGTCCCTCGGGGCTCTTGTGACAGTTGGTGCCGCTCCTCCTGGCCGGATGATGAGTGCTTGAGGACAGGGTGTGGCACGGGCCTGGCCCAGCACACTGAGCAATGCGTTTAGCGAATGAAAGAAGACTGCTAGTGTGACAGGCACTGTGGGTCATGCCTGGTCTCTGCCAGCTGTTCAGCTGGGCACCCTAACTGTGCCACAATTAATAGGCATTCCGGGATCCTCTCGGGGCAGTTCTGGTACATACAGGATGATGACAATTTTTTTTATATCCATCACTCCCTCGGCACCCAGAGCCATCACACCAAGTGGAGAAGAAGGAAGGAACGGGGATACAGCTCGGGGCCAGCATCCTCACAGACCTCCCAGGGAGTCTGGCACGGGCACTGTGGAGACCTGAACGCTCCAAAACAGCTGCCACATCACCCAGGGATGACAGGGAAAAGCCACAATGATTCGGGCCGTCGCCCCCCCACCCCAGCCTCTCCCAGCCCTGGCCCAGTCACAGGGGCCCAAACGCACACACTTCCTACCAAGTCCTGACAGTGACTGGATGCCACTCTGCTCACTCTAGGAGGACCACGCTCCCGCAGGGGACTGCTTTCTGAATGGAACATGTGTTTCCAAT